GCACCACTGAGACTCCCCAGGGTAACTGGGAACAGAGAATGTTGGGAGAGCCATGCTGTGAAATGCGCTTCGGCATTTTAACATCCCCTGTCTGTCCTGAAGGAGTTTACTGGCAGGAGCAAGAAAACCTGCAGAAACAGCCTGGCAGGTGGCCGGCCCAGCTCAGGGCCCGGCAGCCGCTCTGTGGCATCGTGTGGCGGTCCACAAATGCTTTGTCTCCTTTTGCCTTTCAAAGGAAATAGCAGCGGCGCCGGGGGCTCAGCTGGCTGAGGCCGGCTTGTGCACAGAAAGGGTGCCAGTTCCATTCCTGGCTCAGGGCACATGCCTGGGTTTCTGGTTAGATCCCTGGTCCGGGCATGCATGGAAGTCAGCAGGTCCATGTTTCTCTCTCACACGGATGTCTCTCTCTCTCCCTCCCGCTTCCTGACCTCTCTCTAAGCATGTTCTTTTTTTTTCCTTTTAAATATATTTTATTGATTTTTCTTACAGAGAGGAAGGGAGAGAGAGAGAGCTAGAAACGTCGATGAGAGAGAAACATCGACCAGCTGCCTCTTGCACACCTCCTACCAAGGATGTGCCCACAACCAATGTACATGCCCTTGACCTGAATTGAACCTGGGACCTTACAGTTCCCAGACTGACGCTCTACCGCTGAGCCAAACCGGTTTTGGCTCTAAGCATGTTCTAGAGCAGATTAAAAAAGAAAAAGAAAAAGAATCAGATGTGTTACTACTGTGTTTCCCTGAAAATAAGACATCCTCCGAAAATAAGACCTAGCACATGGAAAGATAAGACATCCCCTGAAAATAAGATGTAGCGCAACTTTGGGAGAAAAAAATTAAGACTGTCTTATTTTCGGGGAAACAGGGTAGGATCTCCCAAAAAGGGCATGCCCGTAAAAACCAAGAACAAATGTTGAGGGATTGTTCTTAGTTTACAGGTGAGGAACCTGCTATTCAGCAGAGAAAGGTCACAGGCTCCAGTGGCACTGAGAGGAAAGGTAAGGTGACCAGACGTCCCGATTTTTAACAATTTGTCCCGCGTCCGGCGGCGCTTTAAAAAAGTCCCGATTAAAATCGAGACTTTTGCCGAAGCCGGTTTGGCTCAGTGGTAGAGCATCAGTCTGCGGACTGAAAGGTCCCAGGTTCGATTCCGGTCAAGGGCATGTACATTGGTTGTGGGCACATCCCCGGTAGGGGGTGTGCAAGAGGCAGCTGGTCAATGTTTCTCTCTCATCGACATTTCTAGTTCTCTATCCCTCTCCCTTCCTCTCTGTAATAAATCAATAAAAATATATTAAAAAATAAATAAATAAAATCGGGACTTTTTTAAAACGCTGTGGGACAAATTGTTAAAAATCGGGACTGTCTCGCCAAAAGCGGGATGTCTGGTCACCGTAAGGAAAGGGCACGGACCCACACAGACTTGAGATCCTCTCTCCCTTGGCTCTACACTGTGCCCTGGGGCTCCCAGTTCCACAGTTCCTGCCTGCAGGGCTAACACCCAGGTGTCTTCCCTCGGGCCTCAGTGAGCTAGGAGCTAGGAGCTAGGAGCTGGGAGCGTGGGTGTGCAGGGCACTCTGCACAGCATGGCAGCACAGGCCACCGGGCAATAGGGCACCTCAGACAGCATCTGGAGAAAGCAGCAAGTATGAGAACAGAGGGAAACGGGCGCTTCTCAGGACTCTGGCCTGACAGTTCTGGGTGACAGTTCCCGTGGCTTCTGACAGGCAGGGGGTGTTCACAAGTACGACCCTCATTCACTCACACAGCACAGGCTGCTCAGGGGAGAGTCCTAACAAAAGTCTCAAAAAGCACAGCTTTCCTTCATGCGTAGCAGGTGCGTATGTTCTAGCTCTACGCCACATAATCTGGTGCGGAGGTCGGCAAACCGCGGCTCTCGAGCCACATGTGGCCTTTTGGCCCCTTGAGTGTAGCTCTTCCACAAAACACCACGTGTGGGCGCACACATACAGTGCGATTGAAACGTCGTAGCCTGTGAGCAGAAGTCGGTTTCCGGCCTGGGCGAGTCTGTTTTGAAGAAGCAGCGTTAGAGCACTCAAGGGGCCGAAGAGCCGCATGTGGCTCGCGAGCCGCGGTTTGCTGACCGCTGATCTAGGGCATCGAACGAGAACACCGGTTTTCTCACCCTCTTAAAAGGGAACTACTTTCAAATACTCTACCAGCAAAACTATCACGCAGAATCGAAGGCCAGATAAAGAGCCTCACTAATAAAAAAAAAGCTAAAGGAGTTCATCACCGCCAAACCAGAATTATATGAATTGCTGAAGGGGGTTCTTTCGGAAGAGAAAGTAAATAAAGATAAAAACTATGAACAACGAATACGTAACTATCAGCAAGTGAATCTAAAAACCAAGGGAATTAAAAAAAAAACTGATGAACAATATTAACTGTTGAATATAATAGAATCAGAGGTATGGAAGGGGAGTGAACTGACGATTCTCGGGGAAAAGGGGAGAGGGGGATGCGGGAAGAGACTGAACATAAACTGTGCACCTATGGATGAGGACAATGCAAGGTGGGGAAAGGGCAGAGGGTGGGAACCTGGTGGAGGGGAACAATGGGGGGGGGGATGAGGAACATTTGTAATAATATGAACAATAAAGATTTATTTAAAAAAAAAAAAAAAAGGGAACTACTTTCAAGAGTTGTAATCCATCCAGTTACCAGACAAGGACCTCCTCCTCCTCTGAGCCGCATTAGATGTGCAACGGAATCCCGGAGGGAAGCCTCCACTCAGTGACGCAGCCCCTGGTAAATCAGGTGTGTCAGCAGCTATAACAACAGCAGCTGTATGTGAAGTACGAATGCCCCAGCACTGTAAACGCTTCACATCACTGATCTTACCTAATCTGTGACAATGGAAGATAACGCGCTGGGCGGATGAATAAGAGTCAGAGTTGAGAAGCAGGGGAAATGGAAACTTTAAACGTAAACCTCGTGTTTTTTGACAGAAAAGGTGAAACTGAATGTGGGGGAACTATGTTGTGTAGGTTCCCGGGTGGAGCCAGGAATCCCCACCCTCGCTCTGTCCTCTCACCCACCCATCTGTGTCTGCAGACAGCGGAAAGGGCCGGGGCAGGAAAGCTGGCACGGCAAACCCACAGGCTGGGGCAGTCACAGACCCTCCGAGGGGCAGCGGACCCCGGATTTCTGGGGCAGGGAGGCCTGTCACTCTGGGGAAGGAACGATGTCAGAGGGTCCGAGGGAAGCTGATGGACCTGGGTGGATGTTCCACTGGGTTCGGGGAGGGGAGAGGCAGGTGGCAGTTATGTGCTTGACTTCAGACTACAAAGTAGCACGGAGGCGGAACTTCTCCTGTTGTGCTGACAGCAACCCCCAGAGAGCTCTGCTCCCGGGAGCAGGCATGGCAGCAGGAGTGCTCTTGGCTGCACGCTGGCAGGTGGCCCCAGGCGGGGTGTCCGGGAGCTGGGCTGTCGGGTGTGCAGGCAGGAACACATTCCAGGTGGTGGGTGGAGGGGCCAGCCTAGACAAGGGAGCAGCGAGGCCAGAGGAAGCCTGAGCGGCTGGAGGTGAAAGCGAAGTAGCAGGAGTGTCAGTGGGAGCCAGGAGGTGGCCTGACACGTGCATGGGGGCGAGGGGCTGAGAAAAAGGAGGGAACAGAGCCCTAGGCTCAGGCCACCCAGCGTGCCGCAGTAAGATCAATAATTCAGGAGGTTCAGAAGCGGAGACGCTATTTGCAGAGGTGAGAAATCCGTATCATCCTCAACAATATGTTTCAAGTCTTCCTTCCCGACAGATGGCAAGGTCAGCAGCCGCAAGAGCGGCCCCGGGAGGAAAACACGGCTCTGCCACTCGGTAGGGGACAGAGAAGCCTGGATTCCGGACCCAAACCAACCATCTGGCTGCTTCTCCAAATCCTTGAATCGGGACTCAGTCCGAGATCTACACTGTCTTTTTTTTTTTTTTTTCCTTTTCAATCTGTCTTTCTGGGGACAGGGACTTCACTTAGCATTCAGCACTGGCCACGCCACCGCTGCGGCTGGACGTGCCCGGTGCCTGTGTCTGAGTCTCCGGACCAGAGACGTGCAATCCGCAGAGGCGGCCCCGAAGGCAAGGCCGGGGCGCCCTCTGAGAGCATCTGACCCTCAACGCCTGAAAAAAGAAAACAAACACAGAACCATAATGAATATCCCTTTGCCCCCACTCGTTAGCCCGCAAAACAAGGGCTCCACTTCTCCAAATCCTTGAATCGGGACTCAGTCCGAGATCTACACTGTCTTTTTTTTCTCCTCATTTATTTATTTATTTATTTATTTCCTTCCTTTTATTTCCTTTTTATTTTCCATTTATTTTCCTTTTATTTATTTATTTCCTTTTTATTTCCATTTATTTTCCTTTTATTTTCCATTTATTTCCTTTCCCGATTGCCCTGGTCCGTTCCTCCCATCCCGGAGGCTGGGGAGGCCCTGCGGAAGCGAGGCCGGCTGCAAGCGGGGACATGGCCCCCGAAACCGAAAAGAGCATCCGCCGACCCACGTCCTGCCACGCCACGCTCCCGGCCCCACGGCTGGTGGCCCCTGTGCACGGCGCCCAGCACGCTCCCCCGGCCAGATGCCCCGGCCCCGGCCCCGCCGGCCAGCCAGCGCGCTCCGGAGCCCTCGCCGCCGGCTTCCGAGGCAGCGCGGCGCCCGGGTTCCGATTACAGGTTCACACGGGGCCCGGCCGCCCAGCCCCCCGGCGCGCCCTCGCGCGGCCCCGCGCCCCGCCCGCCTATTCTTCTCCATTCATGCGGCCGCCAGCGCCGCCGCGCCGCCGCCGCCGCCAGCGCCGCCGCCACCGCCGCCGGATTGGCTGGCGGCCGCGGCGCCGGCGCTTTCCCACGGCCCGCGGCGCGTGCGGCCCGGCGGCGGCGCTGCAGGCGCGGCCCCTGGCGCGCGGCCAGGCCATCGGGGCTGCGGGGCGGGGCGGGCCGCGGCCGCCCGCGCGCTGTGCTCCCGCCCGGCCTCCTCCCCAACGGCGGCGGCCGGCAGAGCCCCCGAGGAGCTGGCCGGCGCAGCGCCGCCAAGCGGGGGCGGGCACGGGGGCGGTCGCGGGGTTCGCCCTGGCCCCTAGCCCGGTCCGCTCCCGCCCCCGAGCAGCTGTCAATCAGCGGGGCGAGCCGCCGGATTGGCGGAGGCGAGGCGGTTGCCCGGGAGCCGCCGTCCCGCCCCCGCGCCGCCCCCGCGCCCGCCCCCCGCACGCCCCGGCCTCCCCAGGGCCCCGGGCGGGGGCGCAGCGTGGGAACGGGATGGCTGAGTTTTAACGGGAGGCGGCGCGCGAGCGGAGCAGTGTGCGCGGAGCCCGAGCCGCCGGCGGCCGCGGAGAGACGCCGCCGCCGCTGTGAACGCCTCCCCGCCCGCCGCGCCCCGCGCCCCGGAGCCCCGCGCCGCCAGCATGAAGCGAGCGCACCCCGAGTACAGCTCCTCGGACAGCGAGCTGGACGAGCCGGTGGAGGTGGAGAAGGAGAGCGCGGATGAGAGCGGGTGAGTCGCCGGCGGAGCGGAGGCGGGGCGGGCCGGCCGCGGTGACAGCGGGCGCGGGCCGGGCCCCGGAGCCCTGCCTTCCCGCAGCAGCCCTCTGCGCGGGGCCCCGGGCGCTGTCAGGCCCGAGTTGCAAGGACGATCTGAGTGCGGGTAGAGAGAGCGTGGGAGGCGACCCTTCAGACCTCCCCCCCCTCCTAACGGCGATTCCTGTTTGTTTTTTACGATCGTCCAGAAACTTGAGTTCGGCCCTAGGCTGCATGTCCCCGGCTACGTCTTCGCAGATCCTGGCCAGGAAAAGACGGAGAGGCGTGAGTCTTTTTTACAGTGCTCTTAAAAAAAAAAAAAATTAACGGGAAGAACCACCTTTCTTCACTTTGGGATTTCCAGCCGTCATGGAAATGTCCTCCTTTGTTTTGCCTGCTTTCTGCAGATCATCGAGAAACGCCGGCGGGACCGGATCAATAACAGTTTGTCCGAGCTGAGGAGGCTGGTGCCCAGCGCCTTTGAGAAGCAGGTAATGGAGAAAGTAGGCAGAGCTGCCCAGGGGAGCCACCCACCCCCGCTGCCTTCCCGGCCATGCACTCCGACCCCTCCGTGCCTTGGAAAATAGCCGTGTTGCTTGTTGTGCCCAGGAGAATTCACACAGATCCAACACGTTTTCGGGAAGACAGCTCGTTGTGCCTTAGTCTGTGCTGTCAGGATGCACCCAGCACAGATATGCATGTGCATTTTAAGTTGTTCCCCGCGGGCACGTGGTGCCAGTCAATCTTTCGCTGTTCCCTCCCCCAGGGCTCTGCGAAGCTGGAAAAAGCCGAGATCTTGCAGATGACGGTGGACCACCTGAAGATGCTGCACACCGCGGGCGGGAAAGGTGCGTGTGCCCGCCCCTGCCCGGGCTGGGCTGGGTGGGGGCAGAGCGAGCCTCTGTGCAGGCCGGGTCTGTGCAGCCGCTGCCTTGTTTTTCCTGGGTGCTTTGGGGGGTGGGGGTGGGGGCTGCGAGGTGCGTGCAGTTGCCTGTATGTTTTGAAACGCACAGAGGTTTTTCTCCATGGAATTCATCGCCCAACCCCCCCCCCCCCCACACACACACACATTAGCTCCTTCTTATGGGAAATACCTATTAGGTGCGAAATGCCCTAAAATGGTGGCAGTCCTGAAGATCAGGTAGCTTTCCCCACATGTGTGTATTGCCATGTTGAGGAGAGAGCTTTTTAAAAAGTATATGGTGTTAATTTTATGTACAGAATTTCAAAAAAAAAGAAAAAAAAAGCTGCCACAGGACTTGAGGAAAGAAACCTGTTGTGGCTAAGCAGAGCGAACCTCAGGGAAGGCGGGGGCCGGCCGGGTCTGCCTGTCTCTCCAGGGGGACCCAGTGCCCGAGCGCTGCCTGATGGCTTACATCTGCGTGTCTAATGCATTTCCCCGCGCTGCGGCTTCCCTGCCCTTGATGTATGTTTTGTTGTTGTTGGGGGCAAACATTAAAGGAATGAACGAGCTTAGTTTCATCTGCCTGGTAGGGTACGATTCTAATTTCTGCTCGGCGGCTTCTCGTTGGGCTTTGAACTCGCATTAGCGAACACGTTCGTCTCCTGTTGGTTAAGGCAGAGATTTGGGGTGACCCCACAGTATTTGGACTTTCGGAAGAGCCTGTGAATGCCGTCTGTTCAGGACGCAGGTCTCTGCTGGGAAGGGCTGCCCCTGAGATCGGAGGAAGGCGGGCCGTTTTATTTATTTTATTTATTTTAAAATACATTTTATTGATCTTTTACAGAGAGGAAGGGAGAGGGATAGAGAGTTAGAAACATCGGTCAACTGCCTCCTGCACGCCCATGGGGATGTGCCCGCAACCAAACACGCCCTTGACCGGAATTGAACCCGGGACCCTTCAGTCCCCAGGCCGACGCTCTATCCACTGAGGGGTTTTGAGGAGGCAGGGCCGTTTTAGAGGGTTGTCTTTTGTTCCCTGCCCCAGGCTACTTCGACGCGCACGCCCTGGCCATGGACTACCGGAGTTTGGGGTTCCGGGAGTGCCTGGCGGAGGTCGCCCGCTACCTGAGCATCATCGAAGGGCTGGACGCCTCGGACCCGCTGCGAGTGCGGCTGGTGTCGCACCTGAACAACTACGCCTCCCAGCGGGAAGCGGCGAGCGGCGCGCACGCGGGCCTCGCGCACCTGCCCTGGGCGAGCGCCTTCGGACACCCCGCGCACGGGGCGCCCCCGCTGCTGCTGCCGCCGCCCCAGAGCGGCCACGGGACCGGCGGCTCGGCGGCCGCCTCGCCCACGGACCCGCACCCCCAGGGCCGCCTGGCCGCGGCGCACCCCGAGGCGCCCGCCCTGCGAGCGCCCCCTGGCGGCGGCCTCGGAGCGGTGCTCCCCGTGGTCACCTCCGCCTCCAAACTGTCGCCGCCCCTGCTCTCCTCCGTGGCCTCCCTCTCCGCCGCCTTCCCCTTCTCTTTCGGCTCCTTCCACCTGCTCTCCCCCGGCGCGCTGAGCCCCTCGGCTCCCACGCAGGCGGCAAACCTGGGCAAGCCCTACAGACCGTGGGGGATGGAGATCGGAGCCTTCTAAAGAACTGATGCTGTGGCAGGAGGGGGGGCAGCTTGCAATCCCAGCTGAGCTGGGGTTGCCCGCATCACCTTAAAGTTCGTCAGGTATAATAAAGAGGAAAAAGGTACAATTCCAGATAAGTTCTGTTGAAAGACGAAAGGTTTGTTGTTTTTACTTTTTCTTTCTTAATGTTTTTTTTTTAAATCATGACATGTATTAGCAGTTTTTAAATTTTTTCCCAAACATTAAATGGAAACCGTGTACACCAACACTTGCCGATAGGTTTGTGCAGTGCCTCATTTACTTTGTAAACCTATTGGTCTAAGAGGGATTCGATATTTTTTCTTTTTTTCTTTTTTTTTTTTTTGCCTCAGTGTTTGGGGAATTCTTAGTATTTGGGGGGCTGTGTTACACTTTGTGTTTAGAATTAATTTCCCAAGCCACTCTGCTAAATATTAACGTGAAGCTGTTTGCTAATACGTTGACAATGAAGGTGTTGAAAAATAATATTCTTTTTTTGGGGGGGGAAGGGGATATTGGATTTTGTATTTCTGAACAAAGCGTGTGACAAATCAGATGATCAGCTTTATATCCAAGAAGGAAGGTGAATTCTCTGCTTCCTGCAGCAGGAAGGTGGGTGTACAGAGACCACCGGGAGCCCCGAGTTCACGGCCAGCTGTCTGCCGGGAGCAGACGGCCGTTCTGGCTCAGGAGGCAGCCGCCTGCAGCTGAGGCCCTTTCTGCAGTCGGCTGGGAGGAGAGGAGGATAATGGCACAGACTACCCAGCGTTTCCGGCCTGAGCAGCGTGATGCATGCTAATCCCCCGGGTCTCACAGAGGCTGATGGGATAAGTGCACCAGGGGGCACGTGGTGCGGAGGAGCGGTGGGGCAGAGCCTGTTAAAGGCATACCCCGGCTCCTCCAGGACTGGCCGTGTGTGCTTCTCACTGGAAACATTATGTTGTGTCTTTCTCTCTGCTGCATGCAGATGTGGCTGCTGAGGCGTTTAAAAGGCCTTTGCTGCCTCCTTTTTTGTTCATGCCCTTGCACTCGGGCTTTTCCAGGTTTGTTTGTTTCGCAGGTGTAGCTTGAACACCTCCACCTAGCTGGACTTGACCTCTGTTGTACTGTGTCGTGCCTCAATAAAAAAAGAGGGAACAAACTATTCCGCTGTGTGTCTTGCACCCGCTGGCTTTTCTCTCTGTTGGATAAGAAAAGATACATTCTCTCTTGTTTGCGTTTTTCACAATTACTGGCTGAACGCGTCCATTGCGTGTGGAGTTCTGAGCTGTGTGGATTTGTGCTGTGGAGACACAGCCCGTTAGCCGTTATGCCCATGGCCTGGCCCTGACCTGGCCGTCTGTGGACCACACACTTCAGTATCCGGCCGGAGGTGCAGGTGGGCGGGAACTCTGATGAGACCTTACAGAACTGTGCTGACCATTCCAGAAATACTTGCTGAGAGCACCCCCTGTGTGCTCGGTCCCATGCTAAGGGAGAACATTTATTTCATTTCTTTTTTTCTTAACATGGCAAAATAAGGAAAGCCGAGCGTTGCTCCCCCTGAGAGCCGGGAACTGTGGTGTGGTGAGCTGTGGCAGCTGTAATTCTGCACCTGCGCGGCCCAGGAATCTTTCCCTGCCTTGTTCCCAAGGAACGTGTTTAACCCGTTAGCCGCACTGGACTGGGCTGTGCGGTGAGGAAGCCGGAACAGAGGCAGTGGTCTCGGCCTGGCAGCAGTGCCTGCCCGCTGCCTTTAACGTCCTCCTCTGGCCACTCAGGAGGGTTCCTGCAGCTCGCAAGGAGCTGGCCTTGATCCCGAGGGAGGTGGGAGCGAGGGAGAAAGCCACTCTGGCGGGGACAAAGCAGAGCCCTCCTTTTCTTTGCCCAGCCCCCGCGTGCCTCCTCCAGGCCTGCTTCAAACAGCGGAGGCTGGGAGGCAGACGGTGGGGCGTGGAGCGTGGGCAGGGACTTCTCTGTGCGGCCTTGGCCGCGGTCCCTCTGTGAGCAGCGCTCTGTCCTGAGGCCGCCTGAGCAGTGGGCACTTTCTGTCACAATGTGGGATGCAAAGTGCGATTTTAGCCAAGTGCCAGTTTAATTTTGGCAACTGCGATTTCAAACGACATTGCAGCATCACCAAGCAGCCCCGCGCCAGTCCGACTCAGTGGCTTTTCCGGGCACGCCGGTTTAGACGCGGCTCGGGGTGAGAAAGGAGTGAAGCATGGCACATGCTGCACTTGTCACATCCATGTTGCCCTTGTCACCACCTGGCTACCACATGGTCTTTGTTGTTTTTTAAGGGGGTGTGGAGGTTCATTTTCAAGATTACATAGTTTTTTTTTCAAAGAAATATTTTGCTTTCCTTTTTCTTTTTTAACCTTTTTCAATGACAGTTTACATCCAGTATTATTTTGTATTGGTTTCAGGTGTACAGGATAGTGGCTAGGCAATCATACTCTGCAAAGTGTTACCCCGATATTCCCCGTACCTGCCTGGCACCATACACCGTTATTACAGTATTATTGACTGTATTTTGGTTTCTTTTTAAATCCTTTCAAGGTGACAGGTTTGTGGAAAGGTGCGGGTGGAATTGGAGCTTCCGGGGAAACAGGATGGAATTATGATGCTAAGCCAGTGGTATGTAGAAAAGGGAACGTTGGAAAAGTCTCATTTCTATTCTGAATTGGTACAGGAGAAAGCATGCACGTGGGGGTCATCAGTGCCAGCATATTCTCACACATACGTGTGTAATGCTTCTGCCTGGGCAAACAGCAGAAGTATTAGGCTCTAGAGCAGTGGTTCTCAACCTGTGGGTCGCACCCACAAGTTGAGAACCGCTAGCAGGGTCACCTAAGACCATCAGAAAACACAGATATTTACGTTATGATTCATAACTAGCAAAATTACAGTTATGAAGTAGCAAAGAAAATAATTTTATGGTTGGGGGTCACCACATCATGAAGAACTGTATTAAAGGGTTGGGGCATTAGGAAGGCTGAGAACCACTGTTTTAGATGGTCAATCGATAAACCTTAGGAGGAAAATGACATCCCTGCTCATAAAGAATCTTGAAAGGACCCATTGATTACCCATTTATTTTCATTATATGTCTTAACATGAATTAATATAATGATGGGCAGAATTCTTGCATTAAAAAAAAAAATCTCTAAGAAAAAAAAAAAGGCAAGAAATGCCATTTCTAACGTGTTCACTGTAGTTACATGACGATGCGATTTCCGCTCAGGCCTGCTTTGCCCTGCACGGTTAAATATGGTGGCTTCTGGTCAAAGCCCTTGGGACACGCCTCTGCTCCGGAGACCTCCAGCCCCCGGTCTGCACGGCACCAGCTTTGTGCCTTCATCCGCTCCCAGCGACGGTTTATAACGAGCAGCACCTCGGCGCTGATGTCACCCGGACACTGCTGCTTCGAAGGTGGCCAGTCTACGTCCCAGCCAGAGCTCCGGGGGATGGGAGCGTCTTGGGATGAGGACCCGGATTCTGGTTCCTGCGTGGCTTTTACCGGACTGAGTGACCTTGGGGAAACATGCAACATTCTCTGGACCTGCTTCCCCTCTAGGGGCTGGGCTAGACGAGGGTCCGGGGCACCCTCGGAGGGACAGGCACTGACGGGGGAGCCGCAGGGGATGCTGGTGGTGCTGGCCCCGGGAGCGTGTCTTCCAGCACCTTCTGTCTGAGGCCAGCTGGTTCAGCACCAAAAGATCTAAAGGCCGGATCTTCCACGTTTTCAAGAGCATCTCCAGTTTTAGATGTTTAGGTGAAACTGTGTGCTTTGTGTAGTCGGTAACTAACTTACCAAAACCTATCTGCCGGCAAGGCCGGACCTCAGGCAGCAGCCGTGGCTCAGCTCCGAGGGCTGGCGTCCGGCGGCTCCGTGCAGGCTAGAATTTTCTGGTATCTTCGTCCGGCTTGTACATGTGCTGACCGGATAAACTCAGGCCTCGTGTAAAATGCACACGGCTGTGATTAGGCAGCCGGGGCCGGTGTATGCTGGAGAGACAAGGACAGAGGTTTATGTAATCCTATCTGAGCAGCCACATTTTCTGAAGCTGGGAGAAGCTAACGCATCCTTTTTTGTCCTAAGTCCCGATGGTCACAGCAGCCTCTTCTCAGATGCTCTCCATGGCTCCCTGTACGGAGGAGGCGCCGAGCCCCGCGGCCTGGGGTTCGAGAGCGCATGTACAGCTGGCTGGTGACTCAGCACACGAGCCCTGCCTGCGCCCTCTGGTTTCAGGAAGTGGGGAGTCCCACAGAGAGCGAGCTGTCTGAACCTCACGTGAAATCTAGTCTGGCCTGGGTCCGGATGGCCTGCTCTGGGGAGGGGGCAGGGAGAGGGGAGAAGGAAGGAAAGGAGCCGGGCCTTTCCGTCGCTCCGCCTGCGGGCATCACCCAGCACTGGAGCCCAGCTGCTCCCCAGGCCCCCGGCCCCCCGGCCCCCCAGGAACAGGTCCGCAGCTGTGCTGGGCCACGGCTGGGCCCGGGCAGGCTTCGGGCTGTATGCCAACAGGCCGGATGCCGTGCTTCTTTAGAGTTACGTGCTGGGATGTCCCGCCGTATTTACTGTGAAGTCAGTATGTATGTTTCATGGAGTGCTTGGTGCTGGGTTTTGACACAGACGGGAGTTGAAAGACCGTACCTCCCTTTGAAAACGTAACCGTTGGCACGCAGCGGCCAGGCAGCCCCGTGGCTCGATCTAGCAGAAGAGACTGAAGAACAGCAAGCACACCAGGCAGAGAGTGTGCATTACCGAACAGGTTCTGTAGTCGCTTGTACTTTTTTAAAACCTCCCCTGGGGCACTGTTTTGTTTCTGGTGCGCAGGAATGTCCCCTAAATGCGGAATTGAGCCCTAACATTAAAGAAGGACACAGCTGAGCCGCCGAGCACCTCTGGGCCTCATCTCCTGCCTCTTTCTTAGGCTTTGCTGCGGCTGGAACATGCCAAGTGCGCTCTCACCTGCAGGCCATGCAGCCAGCTTTTCTCCACCTGGAACGTTCTCCACTGTCTGCCAGTCTACTCCACTCCCTGCTCTCGGACTCACAGGCCACCTTCCCCGGGTGGTCTTCCCGGAGAGCCCTGACTACCTAGCTCGCCTCTGCCCCCTCCCCTCCCTCCTCTTTTGCTTTTCTCTGTAGCACTTAGTCTTATCTGGCAGATGTGTTGCCGATTATCTGCTTACTGTCTGTCCTCCTGGTTTGTTCGCTTCTACAGCTGTGCCACCCACACAGCGGCTGACCACAGGAGGCACCCAGAACGCAGTGAGTGAGCTCGTGCATGGAGCCCACCCCTTTGTCAGACCC